TTTTTTTGGGCTACCTTCTTCCAATGATCTCTAAGTCTCATAAGGTCCCGAATTTCGCATGTTACAAAAGGGTTGGGACGTCCACGAATTTTGACTGTTTTGATGGGTGCATGTTCGTCTAATACATTGTTGAATAATAGGTTAAACGCGTTCAATTTATCTTCAGGATCATCAAAAACGTCCAAAACGGACCAGGGTACTTGCGAAACGTCAACAAGAAATTGATCGGGCCGGTAATGTTTGAAGCACCTTGTTGTAATATAAGTTGGCTTTTGACGTTGATTTTTCAAGCGGAGTGTAGCGCAAACAATATCGTGATCGCTTATTGAGCACGGTTTCACGATTGTTTCCCGGACTTGTTGCTCGTTTGAGGACAAAATAACATCTATAAGTGTTTCAGTGGAAGGAGTCACTCGAGTTGGTGTTTTAACCATCTGAGATAGATTATACAAGCGACAAAAATCAAGTAGAGCTCTGGAGTCAGGGTTTTCAAGATTTAAAAGGTTACAGTTTAAATCCCCTAAAATGTATATTGTTTTGTTGTGTAAAGAAGCAGCAATAAAGCTAGGAGTCAAATTAATTGATACAACCAAGACAAGTCGAAGAGAGATGGCTATAGTTAGATGATTTTATTAAGTAGATTCACATGTCTGAAATGATCTTGACCGCATAAGAGCGAAAAAAGTTGTTATTACAGCAGCAAGACCTTTTTGGGAGCGTAAATGATGATTTAGGTTCGTTGCAGGAAACAGAACCAACAACATACACACGCGAACGCAAAACATGAACCATACGAAAACGAGTTACGAAAACAAACTGATTATTTCAGCCTTTAACAACTGCGTCGCGAAGTCGAAGTTAGATGCCTGATATATCCAGGATCTTCCGCTATTGGCAGCCAGCTCCTAGAAGGAGACCGCCTCCATGGCTGACAAATCCCGGCAACCCAGCTATGAGCCCCAACGCGCAAGGGAAGAAAGCAGGAACCCGTCACACTGAGCAAGTCAGTGCAAATAGAGAAGGGAGGAGAAACCGCTATAAACTGAGTCCCCACGATTATGAGACGCCAAGGCTGAATAAATGCTCAACAAAAACTGCTCAAAAACTCCAAAAACGCTGTACAAGTAGATTATGCTAGGTTTTAAGTTTACCAAACGTTGAGTAAATATAGGGAATAAAATAACTTACGCAGTCTCATTAAAATGTCGTTTTTTAACCTAAGCTACTTTTTGCTTTTTGTCTGTTGGCTCGATTAAGAGACCTTGATGAATTTAGGTACTTGATTGAGACCAAGAAGTGGTTTGCCAAAATCACATTTCATCGTGGTCAGTTGAATGCTCTCTGATCTTAGTTTAGATTCTGACAGCTTTCGCCCGGGAGTTTTCGTCGTCAAGAGAAGTTGGAAAGTAAACATGTCAAAAGTAATGCAAATTTTATAAGCCCCCGGCAGACACACGTCTAGAATAACAAAGCACTACTTCATTGAGAAGGAAAGTAGAAGAAAATATATTTTTCTCAGGCACTACTTCATTGAGAAGAAACGTAAAAGAAAACATATTTTTCTCAAATCCAGCGGCAGAATGCATCTACTTGTTATGATCGGCGGGATTATCAGAGTTGAAGCTTTGAATTCTCAGATAAAGGCATTGTATAAATCGATCTTTTTCTCTAAGTTTCTTCACTCTTTTCGATTTTTTTTTTCAATATTGAATTCAGTTAGATTCAAATTTATTCATACTTTGCGTGATACATTGAAGTGCGATTCCGCCCGTAAGTAGTGAATAATAAATACATAGATACGGAATATATTTTTTACATAAGGTAAGAAGTGAATAAACATAGATAAATAATTAAACTACAAACTATTTGAAAACATAAAGTAGCAAAAACGCTGAAATTCTGTCTACACTTTTTATTTCTACAGTTAACACCCCAATTGAATCTAGTGCATTTAAAGGCGCATTTACACGACATTCGAGCGAAGCAAGATCCGTACTGCCTTGACCGAGGGCCAATATTCCCCAGTACGGCCCGGGCAAGCTCGGTTAGTAAGTTGTTTATTATATAGCACTCTGTTTCTGATAGTAGAATGCACTTCCGGTGGCTTGCACTTAAAACTGTTTGTCTTCTTCATCTATCTTTGAAATTTCGGAAAAATTTCAATCTTTTTAGCTTCTTCTGGTAGTTTCAATGTGAAGAATGACAAATTATTCACAGTTTTTTTTTTCGCTGTTTTGGCTGCAAATTTTGAATTTGCCGGCTTCGCTCCAAAACAAAAATACATGGAAACGGTCCGAACAGCAAAATCCTGACCGAGAAAGAACCAATCAGAGCACAGGGATTTGGCACTGGGTTTGCTATATCATAAGAACGTTTAGTCGTCGTTTTCAACAGATAAGTCGCCTCTTGCTGGCTTAGGCCATTTAATTGCTTATACGGCAATAATGGAAATACTTGGAGCAGTAAATATTTTCTTAACAGTTATTTAAAACAAAACCAAAAAATTTTCTGCCACTTCCTTTTACACATGTTCTGGTTTGCGGTCGTTCGTTTCCATGTTAGTCTTGTCACTCAACGCTCCATGCTACCCTCCGAAATAGCACTGAGTTTGCTTTCAGTATCCGAGCCAGAGGCTCGTGGATTGTTCTGAGCTCCCAAAAATACAAGAAAATCCTTTTCGATGCCCAGATTGGGCACATTTCAAGATGGTGGCGATTTAAATGCAGTTTGCGCAAGGCCCTGAATATTACATTTTGTTGATGGCTTTGTTTTAGCTTTCTTCTCGTGCGAATTAAGGCCCGTTCCAAACGCCGCTCCATTTATACGCCGAACCTAGCTGATGAGTTACGTACGGCAGGAGAGCGGCATTTGAATCAGCTCGTTTCGGCTGATTAGATTTGGAACGGCAAACAACATCAAACTCCGCAGGGTCTGTCGCACTATGCGATGTTGGAGCAGCGGCTTAGGCCCCGTCCACACGTATTCGGATATTTTTGTATCCGCAACTTTTTTGTTGCGAATACGCCTTTCGTCCACATGTATCCGATCATTTCCAGCAGGTTATCTGGAAACTTTTGAATCCGCTCTCCAGAGTGGAAATTTCTTTATCCGTAAACAATTGGGATACGTATGGACAGTCAAATCCGTAAATATTTTTATTCGATAATGCAGTAAAGTTGGATCCAGTCTTTACCGCGTAATTATCCAACATGGTAGGCCCCAAAAAGGTTATCGCTGCTGTTGTACTTGGACTTATTTCTAGTCTTATAACGTGTGTGCAGTTAAACCTGGCTATGTTTAATATGCACTTTGATTACTACAAACGGCGTATCGATATTTTGAGGCTTCTTTCGATGTCTGATAGACGAATTGCGCACCATAACCAACTGAAGCGAGCTGGAAAACAACCTCGTCCTCGAAGATTCTGGGTCCGACCAGGGCGAGTTAGTGATTGGTGGGATAATTTTGTGAACCAAAGGATGATAGAAGAAGAACGACGAGAAAATTGTCGCATGAGTCGACGTTCACTGTACAAATTAGCTGATCAACTTAGGCCATACATAGAAGGCAAGACAACCATAATGCGGTCGCCAGTAGATGTTGTAAAACAAGTAGCAGTTACCCTTTACTACTTAAGTGATGAGGGACGCCTGCAAAAAACAGCAAATGCTTTTGGATTATCACGTCAAGCTGTGTCAAAAATAATTCGTAAAGTATGCAAAGCTATCACCATTCATCTTGGAGCTAAATATATTACCCTACCTTTCACAGAAGAAGAGGTTGAGGGTCATGTAAAAAGTTTCCACCGATTGCATGGTTTCCCTCAATGTTTAGGTGCAGTTGACGGAACGCATATTGAAATCAGACAGCCGGAGTATAATTCTACAGATTATATTGACAAAAAAGGACGGCATAGCACTGTTTTATGGATGTTGTTGTCAAGTGGCCAGGAAGCGACCGTGATGCCCGAGTGTTTTCAAATTCCAAGTTGAACTATTTTCTTAAGAGTGGGAAAATACCTCCCTGCAAGCGTCAAATCCTGCCGAATGAGGATCCTGTTCCTGAATTCCTCCTTGGAGACCCGGCATATCCACTGATGCCATATCTTATGAAGGAATACTCAAACGGAGGTGGTACACTTTAAGAGCAATATTTTGGAATGACTCTTTGCCAATCCAGAATGGTGATAGAGTGTGCTTTTGGGCGCTTAAAAGCCCAGTTTGGTGCTTTGAAGAGGGAAATGGACATAAACATTAAAGATGTTGCAAGTGTTATTTATGCATGTTTTGTTCTACATAATTTTGTGAAAAGCACAAAGAGGTCGTCGGAGAGGACAAAGTTTCCTCAGCCATTGATTACGATAACAGCTTCCAACCAGTATAGCTAGTCCTAACAACTTCACAACAGGGCCCGGTTGTTCGAAAGCCGATTAACTTAATCCAGGATTAGCGTCAACCTTCGTTTCATATTTTCAACTTTTTGCCGAGAGTTTCTTTTGCTTATTATTGTTCTTCATTTAACTGAAGAAAATTACATTTCAAAACAGCTTATAGTCGCAACTTGTTGTGGAACCTCATCTCTTCATTTGAGGAACCAATTGAAAATTAGACCCTAATCACAATTAGCCGAAAACTTGTTGGCCCGGGAGACGGTAATGAAGCTGGAGGGAAGAAGATGAGGAGGATTCTTACTACGTATTTTGACCCTGTTATTTCCTTATGTGAAAAAAATTGTTCTGATATGCATGCTTTGACTCAACTGCACGTACAGTACGATTTCGTTGTTGAATAATAATAGCTAGCCAGTTTAAAGGGTACAAATGGCTGTCAAGATCCTCCTAATCTTTCTCAGTAAGCTAGTCTTTTTTGTATATTTGTTGCCGTTCAATTTGAATCCTACACACTGCAGTCAGGTTTCAAACCCAATTATTTTGCAAGTAACCAAAAAATGTAAATTAATTTTACTTTAACTAAAATTTTATTGTTTTTTAACCTAACATCTTGATCTTGCAATTATATAATCAACTTACGTACAAACTTACGTAAAAAAAATGTAACAATCCTCTTTACTGAAAATAATCTATAGCATGCATAACCTTTGGCAATATGTGTTCATAAAATAGCTTTCACAAAACTGTAAGTTGATTCTGTTCATAGCAGAATTACAACAAAATTTTATACGATTAATCAACAGAACAAATGTAACTATCACTTATGAATTGCTATATTCTTATTCAAAACATATGTTTAAAACATATCTTCATCATTCGAATACAATGATTATGTGTATAAGAACTGTCCACTATTTGCAGGTGGAGTTACTCCCTGGGATGCATGCTGTGTTAGGATATATGCTGGAGTTAACTTGTGGTGTCATGTAATGTGGCATCACACTAGGCCCTGGACACATCATTTGCCTTAGAAAAGCAAATCCATCAGCTATAGACCCTGTTAGTTTCTCCATGTTGTTGGTTAGCTTTTCCACATGACCAAAGCAGGTTTTATCCATATTTGCCATTTTTTCTATGAGTTGTTTCTTTACTTGAAGTTCTTCTTGAGACACATTCAGTAGTTGCGCGTCAACAGGTAGCTTTCTTTTGAGTTCCTGATCCTTATGTCCTTTTAATCTTTCATTGAGGAGATCTCTCCTTTCTTTGATTTATTTGATCCTTGCAAGTAGAGGTGCTTGAGGTAGAGGTACTGTCTGTTGATATGCCACCATCATCTTCAATTTCTAGTTCAACTGGACTGTTGCTTTGTGTATCGTCGTTTGAATTTGGGCTTTCACGGCTCACGCTGCTACCATCGTTGATCTCGGTCGTCTCTATTCCTTCGACTATCGTACTTATGGCTGGAGAACCTCCCCATATTCCTTTGCAAAGATCAAAGTACAGCAATACGACACGGCCGTGTCCGCTTTTCCGTCCTGAATCCACTGCTTCTCTAAACTTTTTTGCAATCATTTTAAGTTTCGACGTCAAAACAGACTTTGAAAGTTTTCCCTTTTTATGTGGGTAATCCTTTCCCACTGACAAGGCATTTTCCGACAAAGGGTATTGCTCATACTAAAGCGCTTTAAAATGTCGTCGTACTTGGTTCGGGTGGATTCCCAGTCATCATTCTCCATAGCTTTTGACGTTTTGTACTCCATTGTAACTTTTAGCAGAAGCTCCACTTCATTATCAGTCCAAATATAGGAGTCAACTTGGCTTTGCTCGTTTTTCTTTTGTTTCTGTCCCGTTTGGGACATCTCAATTCCAATAGAAGCTAAGGATTTCAATACGTTTTCCCGCGAATTTGCAGTGTAAATTTGTAAACATAAAATCGGCATGTGCGCATGCTCTAAATAGGATATATCATGAGGAATCCTGGAGACTAGAACGTATTCGGATGCTATTCATTTACTTATGGACGCGAAAATTATTATAACCGGAATCTGATACGCAACAAAAAAGTTGCGGAATTAAAAATGGTTATTTTGCTTGAATGGATACTCCAAAATATGGTGAGACACTTCGTGAAACACAAACAGCCACTGATCTCTAGTTATTAGGTCTAAGCGCCGGCTCGAAATGATCTCTAGTTATCAGGTCTAAGCGCCGGCTCGAAATGATCTCTAGTTATTAGGTCTAAGCGCCGGCTCGAAATGATCTCTAGTGACTAGGTCTAAGCGCCGGCTCGAAATGATCTCTAGTGATTAGGTCTAAGCGCCGGCTCGAAATGGTTAGCTTTCATAAATTGTTCTGGTTACACCATAATTAAACTTGGTAAACCTTTAATAAGACTACGAGGATCGGTTAGTACTTTATATACATAAATTTAAGTGTCTCACCATATTTTGGAGTATCCATTCTAATTACAACCAATTAAAAATATCCGGATACGTGTGGACGGGGACTCATACGGCGGTCTGCCCATGTGCCGAACCTAATGCATATATTACTGTAATGTATTTTTCATATAACAGCACTCGTGATTGGCTCAAAATTGAGTGGCGTGACTAGTCATGAATGACGCTCGAAGTCGTCGGTAAAAAAAAAAAAAACACAACAAAAATTCTGTCACGTTCCGAAGCTCCCTTCTTGCCTTCGATTTACGAGAAACGAGTCTGTTTGAATGAGTCTCTTTGGCGCAAATTCATTTTTTGTTTTTTCTTCGTGATACTAGCTGAGCTAATGACATTCCCCTCGACTGGTCGAATTTACCGGGAGAAAACCTGTCTAAATACAGACTCGGAACCTTGCGATTGAATTTTCTTACAATATTTGTAATATATTGCTTGAACATCGAGATATTAGTCACAGCTTTTATTTGGACAGAGTTCTTGAATTCGGAACGCATATTTTCCCATCGAAAATTGTTTCCCGAATTAAGTTCGACGCAAGTACGCCGTCTGAATCAGCCGTCGCTCCAAAGTTGAACGTTGTTGACTTTGGTTCGGCACGAGTGGTGCGGCGTTTTCATCGGAACTAAGATTACTTCGGATTACTTACGCCGTGTGATATCCCTTCGTTATTGCTGATGAGGTCAGTGAAAAAAGACGTTCTTTTCGTCCCAAGAACAATGGACAATGTTGTAAAACTTGTCTATACTGTAACAGCACTAAATTCTAAACATCTAGTAAATGCTCGACTTTTGCAGATTTTTGAACTGAGCGTAATGAATTTATAGCAAAACAAAGACAATAACCTCAACAGTGTGAAATTCTCATGGCAAAGTATACTTTAGGGTGCTCTCGAGGGTGCAAAGCTTAAGGGAAAGGCTGTGAAATTGACTCGTGCAACTTGTCCCGCCACAATAGGGCCGTTTATACGAGAGAAAATAAGCCGCGGCTTACATAAGACGCGAACACCCCGTATAAATGGTACAAAATCTATGTTCACGGCTTATTCAACCCAAGGCCAGCTCAGGCCGCGGCTTATCCTGGCCGAGGGGTTTTGGGATGGGCAATAGGTTCGGCGCCGAATGGAACCTGCACTTTCGCAAGCATATTTACGTGAGTTTGCAACAGGCGCCGAACCTGAAGCCGTGAACGACTGCTGCGCATGCTCTGTTTTCAATTATATCCCAGACCTTCACGGCCAAGAGACGCGCGTTGCAATGGCGGGAAAATGAGTTTTGTTTACATTTACACCGTGGAAAATGGCGGATAGAGATTCATGTAAAAAAAGAAATATGTGGAGTCCCCCAAAAGAAAAACAATTCCTGCTCATATGCAGCGAGCTTGAGATTGCGGGGCAGCTCGATGTCTCTGCTACCTCGGCAAGCGTAAGTTTGCCGATTTTGATTTTAAATCTACGCTTATTAAAAGTACAACCTGGCCGCGAACTAAGCCGTGAACCATTTAACGAGCAGTTGGCGTCTAATATAAGCCGTACTCGTATAAATGGTTCCTTTCGCGTCTTATATAAGCCGCGGCTTATTTTCTCTCGTATAAACGGCCCTAATGTCGCCAAAACATTGCGAGACAAGTTGCACAAAACATTTCACAGTATAACACAGTCTGTCCCTTTGCACGCTGTGAATAAATTTTCGAGTCACGCACAGTTGACATTTGCGCCTTAATATGATGAGGACAGTATATAGCGAAGTAATAAAGACACCTCATCGTAATTTTTTGATATCGATCGAAAGGCGATTTTACGGCGACAACAAATCGCCCGTGTGAACAGCCGGCGATTTCACTGCGATTTGTAGCGCGACAGATCGCAGCCTTGTCGCCGCAAATTCGAACATGCTCGAAATTTAGTGCAATTTTGCTACGATTTTATCGCAGCTCTTGTCGCGCGACAAAATTGCTCTCTGGGTCTTCGTTTTAGACCAGTAGGTCTTCGTTTTAGACCACAGGGTCTTAGGTCTTCGGTCTTCGTTTTTGGGTCTTCGTTTTCGACACATCCGTTTGATCGAGCCGAAAATTTAATCAAGGATCGAGGTGTGTTATGTTTTGGAGGTGGAAAGCGGCGCCAATATAGAAAAAGCTGTCAAGGCAGAAA